CTGGCAAAAATAAAGCCAATTCTTTCACGGCAGCACTTTGAGACAGTGATCCACGCCTTTGTTAGCACTCGGCTGGATTACTGTAATGCACTTTATATTGGGGTCAGCGCATCATATATTAGTCATCTACAGAGGGTGCAAAATGCTGCAGCTCGTCTTTTAACTGGCACTCGAAAGTTTGAGCACATTTCTCCTATTTTAGCTTCACTTCACTGGCTGCCCATTTCTTTTAGGATTCATTTTAAAGCTCTCCATGGCCTAGCCCCATCTTATCTCTCTGAGGTGCCACAGCCTTATACACCCACCTGCTCTGTCTCAGGTCAGCTGATCAGCTGCTCCTGAATGTACCCAGGACTGGGCGTAAACTTAGAGGAGATCGTGCTTTTGCTGTAGCAGCTCCAAAACTGTGGAACGAGCTCCCTTTAGAGATTAGACAGGCCACTTCTTTACCTGTTTTTAAGTCACTCTTGAAAACCCACCTCTTTACCCTGGCCTTTGACACCGCGTGAGATGTTGGTTTTTATTTTTATTTTATTTTTTAATTTAGTTGTTTTTAGTTGATTTGATGCTGTTTTATCTTGTTTTTGTTTTTATATAGGGCTGTTTTAATTTTATGCATTATGTGTTTTATTTATTTTTGCTGTTTTCTGTTATTCTATTGTTTTTAACTTATTTTCTGTACAGCACTTTTTTCCTGTGCTGGGTATTTGAAAGTGCTTTATAAATAAAATTGGATTAGATTGGTGAGGACTTGGTTTAGAGAGTTATCATATGCTTTCAGGAAATGATTGCAAGTCAGTGTAAAGTCCTTTAAAGTGATGCAAACTATGACTTTGTGCTTGTTTGTCTCCATGTTTGTTTTGGACACATTTTGGGGAAAATCTCACTGCGAGGACACTTCTGCAGCTCTACAACTTTTTGATTGCTCCTCTTCACACCTTCATGGCACCGCTAGAACAGGGCCTCAATCTGTTTTTGAGCTCCCAGCTCAGCAGCATCATCTTGTGTTCACCGCAGGTTAAACAGCCTAAAAACAGATCACAAGTACAGTACTTTCTACTCCACGGTAGTTAAAGGCAAAGATTATACAGAAAGTAAAATGATGAACGTTTGACTCCAGCAATAATAGTTGCAGGTTTTTTTTATTTATATTTGTGCTTCCAATTTCCTCTTTAAATCTGCACACATTTCGGTGTTGTAATTATATTAAATCAGGCCTATAATAAACTATAGAGTTTGTTTTAGTCTTATATTAATACCTAAAACAAATTCTATAGTTTTCTTATGGTCAGAGAGCACAACACGGAGAACACAGCTCTCACTTTGATTTGGCTCGTTGTCATTCTCACTTTTTTTTGCTTAGCTTACTCTTTTCCCAAACATATTTTCTGCTATTTATTTTTACAACAACACATTTAAATTTCAAAGACTTTTTCCTATACTTATAGAACTTATAGTAAATGATAGAAATTTGCAATATCACACAGGACTTCTACTTCCTCTTTCAGCCCTGTATCAAATCTTTATCTTTAAAGCACTCTATGGCTCTTGTCTGTAAAAAAAAAAAAAGAAAAAAAAGAAAAAGAAAAGTTTAAAAGAAAATGCTGAATAAATAAATATTTTTTGCTTATTCCGTCTTCGGGACTGAAAAAAAAATCACAGTGCTAAAAGTGACGTAACTCTTCCGTCTTTATCAAATTGTGTGTGTGTGTTTCACGGCCACCACATCCATTTCCACTCGTCTTCGGCATGCGCACAGACCCCCTCTGTTCCTGCACACTGCTGCTCTCAGGACTCAATTCATCAGCTCATACAAAGAAGTTTTTAGCTCTGCTCAGACACCTCCTGCACCACATGGGTTCTTTCAGACTTCGTGTCGCATGGTAACAGCTTCCTCAGCTGGACAGCAGTCGCGGTGCTTCAGCCGAAGGGTGGAAAGAAACAAGATCTCCTTTAAATAAATGAGCGTGAAAGCTCTCTGCTTTGTTTCAGCTCAGTAGAAGAAGAAACAGAGGGACACAGAAAAGAGGAGGGCCACCACTCAGATTTTATTCTCTTCTGCAATTAAAGCTGGAGTGAATTTTCCATCATATACAAACAGAAACACACGCCTGCTATATTTTCTCCTTTGTCTTGCTGTCATTTTGACACATTCAAAAAAAAAAAAAAAGACACTACAGGAAAGAAATCATCTGCTAATTGCACACAGGTGTAGTTCAAGGGTTTTGGTCTCAGTCTGTAGGGTGCTGTAATGCGAGGAGTTTGATCAAATGACTCCAGGAGCTTCCACACAGAGGTCAAAGATGGAAGTGTGGATGGGGCACTCCAACTGAAATAAAAAGAAAAAAGCACTCAGGAACATATTGTACTAGCATTTTCAAACTTAAATGACAAGAAAAAGTCACATTTTCACATTAAAAATGTAAGTTTATAAGCTAAGATCGCTCCCTCTTTGCCCTTTCTTTTCCTTCATTCGTCACTCACCTGTGGCTGCGGTATCGTCTCAGTTTTGGAACCAGTTGATGACGTAGGTGCAGATGCCTTGGAAGCTCTTCCAGCAGTAATCGGATGCGAAACGGGAAGCTGTGGATTCAGGCAGCTCCGTCGGGTGATCACTGGTTTTCTCAGGCTTAGGAGTAGTCTTCCTGCTCTGACGCCCCTTGCCTGGCTGCTTATTGGGCTTCACAGGTTTAGCAGAAGTAACAGGCTTGGTCTGAGCAGGCAGTGCTGGTTTACGTGGTTCCTGAGCGGACTTGGAGGGCTTCAAGTTGGCTGTTTTGGGCCAGGAGGCCAGCAAGGTCATCTGAGTCTCATCTGGGTATTTCTTGCACATGTGCGGGCGGTAGATTTTAGTTCCCTGGCAGGCGTGGCTCAGTTTCCTCAACTCCCACATCATCTGCGTGAAGTAGTGGCGAGGGTTCCCGTTGTAGGCCCGGCACAGGGTGGGTTTGCCCTGGAAGTCGCAGTAGTAAGAGCGTCCTGGGGTTTGGCCCTTGCAGGAGACACGAAGGCGGGTGTAGTTCCCTGGTGCAGACACCACCATGGTGCAGGAGTCTTTGGTCTTCGTGCTGAATCTGATGGGTTCATCCCAGATGCTGCGCTGCTGCTGCTTGTCATTGTCGCTGCTGTTGTCGGTTTGAGCATTTGAAACACAAACAGCTGCTGCCGAAACCAGCAGCAACAGTCTCAACCCAGCTCTCATGGTGTTCAGCGTGGACTGATGGACGGGCGAGGGCTCAGGGGTGATGTGTCCGCAAAGAAAGTTAAGGTGTGGAAGGACGGAAAGCATGCGGCTGTGAATTTATAAAGCTGAAGCTCACAAAGAAGGCATTATTCAGGTAAGCTGAAAAGTTTTAACCCCTCCCTTATGCTACAGACACACACAGAGCAACCACAAGGTTCGTGTGGTACGCTAAAAAAACACCAAGGAGTAATGTATGGAAGAAAAGGGTGAACATAAACTTAGAGATGAAGACAGGAAAAGGAGGGGGTTGGCTTGTGGGAGCCGAGGGAGAATTAAGAGGTCTGAAGAACACGCATGAGGCCAAATAGCTGCAAGTCATTATGCAGTGTCACATAAGAGGTTCATTGACCATTGATCAGGAGGGGAGAGCAGTGAGGCTCCAGAGCCACACTGCAGGCTCAGGTTACTTGGTGGAGATTTAAGAGTCGATATGTGACTCAGTAAAACAACAAATCTTTAGATGTTTGATGACTTTTGTTGCAGAATTAATTGAAATGGACTTCTAGGACGTCTCTCAAAGTTTCCAAAGATGGTAAATTATGTTTTACTTGCAGTACATATCTTACACTACAGGAGTGTTTTTGGTTGCACCTGGAGAAAATGTTTTATCCTGATAGTTTGAGAGGGTCTGACTGCAAACCTCACATCCAGGGGCACCTCTAGAGTCTGCGGGCGGAGGTAGAGCAGGTCATCTGCTAAGTGGAAGGTCAGCGGTTTGATCCCTGTGGCTCTTCCAGTTAGAGCCGGGAATCTATCTAAAGATAGTGAACTCCAGACTCCATAAAGAAACAGCAGTCCATTTATCATTTACCACATGCACACAGCAACTCTGTTGGCGACTCTTGCATACATGAGCTGTTAATGTTGTGAGCTGTTTGGATTGAGCGGGCATGGCGTAGGTCTACTGCCTGGTAGTTTAAATGTAAATATCCCCCTTCCCCCCTACTGCATAAGCACTCCCATTCCTTGGGCACCACCAGTCTGGAAAGCCTGAGTTCAAAGTCAGACCAGACTGAAAATTTCCGCATTAGCAAACGGGTTTGTTTGCTGAGTGAAAGAGTGTGTAAGTGCACGCACAGCCTCAGTGCATTCTGGGAGTTTTTATTTTTATGGCGGTTAGCCTGGTGAAGCGGAGAAAAAGCTCAGCTGGAAGAAACGCCGAGGATCTGTGTGTTTGTGTGTGTGGGCTGTCTGCACCATGTTTTCCTATATTTAGTTCTCTTCTCATAGGGTGCAACAGCATCACACCACCTCAAACACCACCAGCACCATCACCATCATCACTTCCTGCAAACCTGTGTACCTCCAGCTGCTGTGTGCGCATTGCAGTTATATTTTTGTATTTTCTAATTAGCTTTTATCATTAAATTTTTTTACTTGTTTTAATTCAGTTTAGTTTCCAGGATGGATTTTCTCATTTTCAGTTTAGTTTCTGTCTTTTTAATTATTACGGAGCGCATGTCAGAGGCCAATTTTCAGAAAATCAGGACAGATGTAATAAGAAAAAACACTTTTAAAAAAGTTCATAGAACCATTTCCTTTCATTTGATTTTAGCTAAAATATTTTGTCATCTAGTTTTAGTTAACTATAATTCATCTCTACATGTGCCACATGAGCATCACGTGTGTTCCTGAGCACGTATCAAACTCCTTTTAAGTCATTTTTTAAAGGTTTTGCACACAATAAAACATTTCCTTTATATTTAGAAACTTGCGATTTATGAACAATGTTTATGCAATAAAAACCAGACGACACTGGATTTGAGTTTTTATTTAGAGATTTGCATCCTCACCACAAGCCCAGTTGTGTTTTTCAGACCTTTAATATTGCAGAGGCTTCTGGGAATTTTATTCGACAACACAAGCAACAGGCCCTCATTAACATTCTGGTGAAACATGATATTTTGTGTCATCGCTCCTTAAATCCTGTTAAAACAGCGCTTACCAAACTTTTGAAGCTGATCAAACAAGTTGACAGCCTACATACAGTTTTTATGAACAAACAACAACATAAACAGGAACTTAATTAAATTTAGTTAAATAAAAGCTGATTCAATAGAATAAGCACATGTGTGTATTTAATAGCTTGTAACACTTTGTAGTAAACTGCGCAGTCTTCATGTTTCAAGGATGTACTGAGCTGAGCAGAGCTGACGCTTTGCTGCTTAAATGAATAATTCAATACCTTTTTCGCTTTTGTCTTGAGTTAGCTGAGAATATTAGCACCTCTGCTATGTGAGGTTAACTGAGATTTGGACATAAAGTGTGGAAACAGCTCAAAACATATCTAAAGTCTGCTGTGACACATAAATGCTTAGAAAAGACACAAATTCTCACCGAATGTAAGCTGATTCAACTCTTTGGTCAAAAACACAGCTGCACAGCTGTTTGGTAGATTCCCATGAGAGATGTGATCTGTGTCAGTTTCACCTGAAGCAACAGGAGGTGTGTGCTTTTGTTTCCTGGTGATATATATGGGTGGCTACTTGATGAAGTTTTCTGCAGCCTAAATCAAAGCTGGATTACTTGTCCTTGTTTCAACATTTATTCATAAATCTGATCTGTTCAGCTGTTCGGTTTGTGTATTATTTCAGCTAATCCACTTCTATGAAGGATGACATGTACACTACATGCTTGGCTGCAAAGCTCCTGAATTTTCACAATGTGATGTGCTTAGACTGAGCAAAGCAAGTTTTGCACTTACTGGAAAAGACGATCCACCGTTTGACCACCATCGTCTTTCTAGCTGCCGAGTTTTACAAATATTTAAAAACTGTGGATCCTCTGATCGCACGAAGTATATCGACAAATTCTTTTACACTCAATACGATGTTTTGCCGTATTTTTTTTTTTTTTTTGGGGGGGGGGGGGGGGGGGTCACAGACACCTGCTGCTTTCTGAATTCCCTTCCTGAAGCCTCTGTCTCCATATTCGTATTTTAAAACGAGATATGATGACACATGGGCGGGTCTGACTGAAACTGCACGCTCACTGGCTACCAACTTACCAATCGCAAGCCAGTGAGCAGATCCTGGATAATCCTTCTTTCTGAAACATAACATGACCAAGATTTACAAAATGAACTTAACTTGTTAGTCAGTATTAACCCAAAATAAGTGACAGAGCCCATGAACTCAGCAGAGACTTCTACAGTGTTTTTAGCCACAGGTGTGGCCCCCTGGTGGTTTATAAAAACAATGCAGCTTCTTTGTTGACTTCACTTTTCATACCTGGAAGCTACATCCATGTTTTATACTGTGTGAGTGACATCATGGTCATCGGTGACCATACTCTGATGATAACTCTGTTACCTAGCAATGGCATTTTCCCCCTATTGGCTGAACTGTTACGGTGGTTCCTCCCTTTTTTACTTTTGCCAATTTGGGCACTATTGAGAGTGCACGTAGCACAAGTGTTAGCTTGTTTTTCTCTTCGTCTTTTTGCTTTCCAGCTGCTTGAATTTCACATAAACCTCTCATCTAACCCTCTGAAAGAAAGCGAGTAGCTACTTTTTTTTTCAAATTGTGAAACGATTCCTTAAATAAACACCTGCTAAGTGCAACCTGTTTGATGCAAATTATGTCAGCTATATTACAAATATTCACAGAGAAAAAGAAAGCTATTACTACAAAACCTACTTACATGTTATAAAACAAAGTTTAACAAAAAAATATATAAAACTTTCAAAAGACTTGAAAGTGTAAAAACTGTACACTTGTGTTGCCTTGTTTAAAACTGATCATGTAAGTACAAATTGATTCTCTATGCAGCTAAATATGCAGCTGTTGGTGTACATAATAAAATGGTAAAGGGGTCGAAAAAACACTTCATAGGATTTTGCTGGCATTAGTGGTTTTGTCAAATGGCCTGAAGGACTACTGAAAGACGCCTTCATCCCAGAGTTCATGATTGTTCTTCCCTTTTGTCCTTGGAAGTGTTAAAAGATCTGAATCGGAAGCCTAAACAGCCCGGTGATCCTGGAAAAGAAGAAAGCTTTAAGAAAAATAAAGTGCACTAAGAGGCAGGTATGAAATATGTGAAGAGATACAGATGAGCGCTTACCACAAAGGGAAGATCAGTTCCAGTTCTCCTGTCCACTGTGGAGGGAAAAGAAAAGGTAATGTTTTATGTTAATGACTGGAACCTCAAATCATCAGGAAGAGCATCTGGAGCTGTTGCGACACCTTGTGACTGTTACTGTCATTGCTATTATTATAAGTTACAGGGTGAGGATGATTGAGGATGACATAGTAGATGATTATAAAAAGCAAATGATTTCCTGTGGTCCACACAATGGGAATCACTTCCACAAATCTTTGAAGATTGGAGGGTAAACATGTACACAGGTATACAGGAATTATATTCATATTTCTATAGCTGAAATATGTAAGAGTTACACACAGAATAATATTTATTAATTTATTTTCCTTTGAGGTTTTCACCTGCACACATTCAAAGCCAGGACTTGTGTTTTGGGGCCTTTACTGTTATTTCACAACTGGTGGGGAAAACATGAGTTTTCCAACATTTTTGTAGTGTTTGAAAATAGTTTTGGGTGCTCTGTTATTCAGAAGGAAACACAAATCAAGCATGCAGAGTACGTGCGTTCGTGACTCCTTCCAGGATTAAACCAGGGACCTTTCAGGAATCTAAAAAATGATTTTCTTGTTGTTTTTTTTCCCAAATAATAGATTGATTCATTTTTGGTCTTAACACAAGAAAAATGTTTCAGAAAAATAGTGTAGCATTAGGTTTCTTCTGTTTTGTCCTGTTGAGGCTCATTTTCCTTTAACTGGAGAACACAACAACGCTTCAAACACAAAAGCAAATATTTTTCTCTCTTCCTGTGCAGCTTTGACTGAACACTGCATATATCCAAGGATGAAAACTGATCTAATTGAGGCACAATCTGGATGCCTGACACGTGGCAGTATCATGTGGATATAAGCAGTTACCTCCATCACAGAAAACTTCATTTCAGTGGGCTCTGATGTTTGAATGCAGTGATGGATGAAGGATGAAGAAGATCAGAGGGAAGTCAGGAAAAAGGAGGATGTTTTTGTCAAAGTGAAATCAGTGGGGTGATGGTGGGATGCTGGATAGTCTTACATGGCTGGTTGTTAGCGTAGCTGTAAGGGTTAGTGGAGTCATCAGTGATCGTCAATACCTCATCAGCAGGGAGAGAGTTCCAGTGGGTCACCAGACTGAGTAGCTCGGGGGGGCAGAGGCCCGAGGGAACCGAGTCAGAGTGTCACAATAGGGAGAGCTGAATGCACGCACACACACACACACACACACACGCACACACACACACACACAGGGACACTATATGTGGTAAATAAAAATTTACGCTGACAGGACTCCAAATATCCCTCCACCAATTAACACTCCAGCATGCAAGTCAGATTTAGCTCCACGCGGCTCGTACCTGATGGCAAGGTTTCCATGGATATCACACACCTGTTCACTGTGATTACCTATATTAGCCATACTGCAAGAAAAGAATGAGGGGAGGGGCAGGTGAGAAAGGGGAAGACTCCTGTGAAAGTGACAGGGATGGAGTGATCCACAGAGAGCGACGCTCGCATCGGAAAGAAAGAGAGCGCGAGCAGTGATGGGAAAGTCCATGTTAAGAGCTAAAATGCCGAGCTCGTGATTTCAGAAGAAAGAGTGAAAAAGCTCAAGAGATTCGAAGCTGAACAGTCCCGTTCCAAAAAGCGAGTAAGTGTGTGGGAGAAGATGAGAAAGTGCGTGAATTATCGATTTTAAAGTGCAACAAGCCATGGGTAAGAGGAGCTGGAGTGAGCGGATACAACACAAGGAGAAAATACGAGGAGAATCCGTGTCCGTGAAAAGGAATAATGGACAGAGAAAAGGAAAGAAAATTATTAATGAATTTGGCTTTGATTTACATCAGAAAAAAACCCAGGAGGATAATGAGGAAGGTTTGGACTCACTCTTCAAAGACGTCCTCTGTGTCCATCCTTCTGTAATACTTGGCCAGTTTGACAGAGAAGATGATGCTGGGGATGAGCAGGACGCAGCAGCTGCCGAGACCAAACCAGAATGTGTTCTGGAAAATAAAAGTACCAGTAATCACATCTTATTAGATTTCATTCATTGCTGTTACTTTTAACTAAACACTGATTTTTTTTAGATTGTTAGTGCTAAAACACTGTCAAAAAGATTTCAAATCTTGATATTAATGTGGGTATAATAAGAACTCATATTTGGTACAATGGCTGTACCTGTTTCTCTGTACCTGACCAAAGTTGCAGAGACTGAAACATTGCAATTGAATAAAAATAATGTTAAGCGGGACATTGTGTGGAGGTTATAATAAGATAACAAAACCACTATTTTATTGATTATTATCATTTATGGTCCACCTGCTTCATATTATTCTAACATTATTGTAACACAATACAGTCCTGTGAAAAACTAAGTACACCCTTTCAGTCCATAACTTGTAGAACCATCTTCAGCATCAATAACTTGATACTTTTCCTGTATGAATTTATTGGGAATTTTGGCCCGATAACACAGGACTCTGTGTGAGAAGTTTGAGTCCAGCTTTATCTTTCACACAGAAAGTGGAAGATGCCCAGTTCCCGTGGCTCCAAAACAAACCCAATTCATCATCCATCCTCCGCCGTTATGAGGTGTTTGTGCTGCTGTGTTTGGTTTTCATCAAATGTGGTGCTGTGCATTAAATACTTTCACTTTGATCTCAGGAGTCCAGAGGACATTGTTCCAGAAGTCTTGTGGTTTGTTCAGATGTTACTTTGCAAACCTCATCGTGCTGCCATGATCATTTTAGAGGTAAGAGGTTTTGTCCTGCAACCCTTCCTAAGGAAGTCACACTTACTCAGTCTTTTTCTAATCTGAATATCATGAACTGAGGCCTTTAGAGTCTGAGATGTAGCTCTTGGATTACTTTCAGTCCTTCTGAGCCTGACTTGAGTGTGAGTTTGCTGGGACATCCATTCCTGAGAGATTGCAGCATTGTGTTAACACACATCTGAATATCCAGATGTGTGTTAACACAACACCTGTAACATCTAGACCAACAAACTACCAAAATGTCTGCCTTTGTAATGATCTTCAGACTTGCTGATGATCAGTGAATCAAGTGATTAACAGTGAGTAGCAGCATCTGGCTGCAACTGACGACCTTGATTCCTATTGAAGAAGTAAGGGTGTATTTCATTTTTTTAGGGCTGTAGAGAGTCCCATAAAAACTTGTTTACCTCAGAAATGTACTGATGTACAAGTTTAAAGTAGACTAAAAGAGTAATTGTAAATGCTTGAGCTAAGGTACTTGTTAATATGCAACAACTCTTAAATCAGGGGACTTTTTATTTGTAATCATCACTGAATGAAATGTCAGGACTGTGACTTTTAAAGACATAATAACATCATGGACCAATGAATTAATAATAAATATACTTGTTGTAGTACTGCTAATGTCACACGTTTTTGCAGCTGAATTTCACGGACAGAAGCCTAAAAAATGTGTGCACCGTGCACACAGACACACACACATGCACACACAAAGCACATCTAAATGTACAGTAGCTGCAGGCAGTGCATACATTAAAATCCTGTTTATATTGCTCACAGTCTTTGGCCTGTTTGGGCTCATTAAACTCTCAGGAAGTCGCATGCTTGATATACAGCAAGTATAAAAACATAAACCTTTATAACTCCTCAGGGTCAGGAGTGAAAACACTGAAGAATCCATGTGTGTGTGTAAATCCCCAGCCCAGACACAAAACAGGCTTTATTTAATCTCAGTGTTTGGTACATTAAGGTACATGCACTGTGCAAACAGCTGGGAAAATACTCAGCACACATCCACACATACAGGTAACCACAATGACATCTTACCAGTGAGTCGATTATGAAGCTGCATCCTACTATTTCCATACTGTCCACAATGTTGCTGATGGGTTTACACTGGGCCACCTCTGCAGTTAGCTGTAGGATAAAAACACACATGCTGGCTGATCTCTTTTCAGAATCCAAATTTATTCATTAACTTCAAGTTAAACCAGCAGTTCTTAAACCATACTAAAACTTAAACACTAAAACTAAATTAAACACTGACTCAGATAATCAGAAGAGGCAGAGGAAGGATTTACTATACTGCAAATTTTCTACAAAGACACTGAAGAAAACAACAGAGAAAAATGGCAGAGTACTCACAGAGTTTTTAACCCATTCTGTGTACTGTTTGAAGTATCCCACCAAGCTCTGCACATACGCCTTTGTTTCCTACAACCAAAAAAATGAAAAACACTTATGAGTACTCACTATGATCACGATTGAGATTTCAAGCTCTGGAGTTTGTTTCCCTGTTGGATCAAGATTAGCTCTTTATAAACTTTTCTTTAAAATGTAACCTGTTTTGAGCACTACGATAATGACGTTCTTGGCCAGTGAATTAAGTTTGGATTGCAAACACAAAAAATATTTATTATAATGTAATCAGTCTGCTTACAATGGGACTCTAATAAGCTACAGAAAAACAAGTCGTCTTTATTCTGAGGCAACACGTTTGCTACCAGAGAACAAAATCACAACACCAGTCGCCTCAGAGCCCTTGCGATTATAAAGCAAAGACCCTACAATGACAGATGGAATATCACAACAATCATACAACCCCTCAATGAGCAAGCATTTGGCAACAGTGGGAAGTAAAAACTCCCTTTTAACAGGAAGAAATCTCCAGAAGAATCAGAGAGGGGGATGAGGGGAAAGAAAAAAAGAGAGAAAAAGGAGACCATAAGGACACAAAGACAAAACGCACACTTTGGCACAATTTAATGATGTGAGTGCTGGTGTAAAAACCCCTGAGAGAAGACAGGAGTGGAGCACAAATTCCCAGTGCATAATGGGAAGTTTGCAGCCTGTTGTGGCATGCTTAAAGAGCTTTTTGCTGTGTGTTCAACATTTATCTTTTGATGCTCCATGTCACCATGTTATGTTGAAGCCCTAATCGATGTACCTGCTTCACCACGTGGGAGGCATTATGAGTGAGGAGATACTCTGCTGCATCAATGGCGCTCAGGACATTTGTGACTTTGACCTCAGAGAGAGAAAAAAGCAAAAGAAATTAGTTCACGAAATGTGGATAGGTTGCTAAGGAAATAACTTTTTACACTGCTATCTGTGGTCTATTACAATAGTTTTAGTATTTACTGGCAGGTCGTTGGATGTCTTCTGCAGCTGTTTGATACTCTGTTGCAGCGTACTCTGTGTGAGAAGATTAAAGCACAAGCAGTCCCACGGTGAAACAGACACACGCACAACTCCCTTCTTATTTACAGATACACATTCATCACATCACGCCACCGCTGTCACAACATGAAGGACGTTGCTAAGACAACACACACAAAAAAAGAAAATAAATCACTGTCACAGTGCTGCACATCAACAGCAGCTTACCCGTGCTCTGACATATTTCTGTCACCACATTATGAAAGAAAAGAACAAAAAGAAGGACCACTAAGGAACAGAGCAAAAAACAGACCATGTAGATGTGTTTTGTCCCTGAGGACATTCTCTGTTCATTAAGATTACGTAATTACTACTATTTCCCTATTAAATAATGGTAAAAAAAAAAAAAAAAGCTTGGGTGTAATGCTACACGTTTGCCTCATTCAGTATGTGCAGATGTGCAAATCCTCCCTAGGCCACTTGCCACCAGCTTTCCTTTGCTAGGCCAACTCACAGGTTCTCCTTCTATGTGGGGTGAGACGCTGCTGAAATACGTGCTGTTGTTTTTTTACATGAGAGTCACTGCTTCATACTAACTCAAATACTATTATCTTCACCTCCTCAACCCTGTGGGTATATGTTTTTGGCTCAACCACTGACAGTTTGTTTCAGTAATGGGATCAAAATGATTTTAATTTTACCCAAAACTGGGTAAAAAATTAAAGTTTTTTGTTGTGATGCCTGAAATAAAAAAAGCCTCAATTCAAAATCCTCTGTTCATCTAGGACACTGCTAAAGAAAAATAAACAGGTGATCTTCATCGTCTTGGTAGCTGAATATATAAAATAAGACCTCTATCTATCAGCTTATCCAAGCTATGAGAAATAAGTGTTGAACTGTTAATAGTGCTGTTTGTATTTGTGCTGTGGTTAGTTGATTACCATTGCTTGCTCCAGTGGCACCACCTGTTCTCGGTGAATGAATCTAATGCTGCTGGCATGGCCTCTCAGTGCGTTCTCCAGAGCACCACGTGGCTGTAAACAAACACAGTTTTAAGGATACAATATGTTATTACAGATGTATATTGTTTAGGTTCCCATGAAAATGTAGAATAGATTTTGAGTCTTTCACGTAACTGAGAACAAATATTTTGTCATTGTTTTATTATAAGTTTCACTACAAGGGCACATGCAAAGTCAAGTACAGCCAGAGATGTGCCATCCTTCATGAAGATGAAATTAAAAAATCCACTTTTAATCAGATCATTTAGACAGATGTGAAGATTCACTTTAGGTCTGTGGTGAGAACCTGACTAATTCAGCAGCTCAAGTGTTCATAATTTTAACCAACTGTGACATCGTGGCTAATAGTTTTTCACCATATAGGCCTGTTTTGGATCCATAAGAGAGCAATAGTGGGACCTCTGACTGCCACTGCTCTACAAAAGGCTGTAACCGTGCATGCGTACAATGTGTTGATGCTGATCTACAACACATGTGCAGACATTAATGACTCACCAGCTGGTCAGCCTGACCCTCCAGGTCGCTACAGAAGGACAGCAGATCTATTAGAGTGACTCCTTTATTTACCTAAAAACCAGGAATTCACACATGAAAGATGGTTAGTATAAAAAGGTTTTCGTTAAGGTTTGTTTGGGGGTGGGGGTATTTTTATTAGGGATAGCTTTTAAAGTTCCAGAATCACTGTTTCAAATTAAATGCATTTTATTTATGCATATTAACAAAACTGGGAGATGTTATGATTGTATTCAAAATATTTTACATTAAACAAGAAAAATAAAATTAGCAGAATGATGGAAATAATTTTTACTGAGTGTATGCGCATGTAAGCGGAGTGAAGGGCTTTTTGTGCACAGATATAAAGGAAGTAAACAGTGTGCATCGTGCCATTCAACATAAACACAACCACAGATGCACACAGCTCACCTCAGTGAGATAAACCTGAAAGTCAATCTGTCCAATTCCAGAGTTGGCAAAGTTGATGAGGTTGTCTCTGCCAGCCTGCTCCAGCAGCGTGATGCCCTGCAGGTCCACCTGCACACTATCAAACACTTTGGCCAGGTCCCTGTTGTACTATTGTGAAACACACGTGTAAAGTCAAACTACCATTCACCTTCTGCCATCAATGCACCTGTAATGGTGACATACAGTAACATAGCTCGTACCACTGTTCTGTTGAGGAAGGAGTTAATGTTGAACATGGTCTCCAACTGTAGAGCGTGATACAGACCGTTGTTGTCATAGCACTCCCTGTGAGACAAAACCATGATCATCACCAACACAGTGCTGTGATGTTTTCTGCTTAACTACAGGTAATGAGTTTCTTACAAAAACAACTAGAAAAATGGATTTAGTACTTTTTCGTGATAACTTAAATGTTACCTGTACATGCCGCCTAGAGTTAAATCAATATTTGGATTCTGGAAAAGCATCCCAGGAAGGAAGTTCCTCTTTTCAGGATGGACCAGGAACGGCGTATCAATGATCTACAGACACACAAACACAGTTTAAGAAAGCAGTGTTGTCCATTTTACGGCTCAGATAAAAGGTGAAAATAATAAAATCTCCAGAAGAATAAAAATAAAATACAAAAGAGAGTTAACACCTTAAACAGCTGTCTGTTAGCCAGAGGTTCACATATCAGCTTTTCCACGTTGCCCCCGACAACAAACAGGGTGGTAACGATGACCATCAGCACCCAGGCAAAGATAAACGAGAAGCCAACACCACTGCAAGAGTAAAAAACAGACTCTGAGAGACAAAAATAATATTTTTGCTGTTATTTCCCACCATATATCACAAGAGATAATCCCGTAAGGGTCCACTTTTGATAAAACCAGTATTAATGTGAGGAAACTCTCTGAACTTGAGACGTTTCTATAATTATTTCATGCATTTACTGTTAAATTTAATCTTATTTGAAGAACACTATTGTGAGACTTTATTTTTTGTAAAGTAAACCTTTACTCAGTGTTTATAATGCTTCCTTTGTTATATGACTGTAAGCTAAATGGATCACAGCCACTTTTACAGTTTGAACTCCACCCTGAAAAAAAGATCCCTGAGTGATGCCTTCAGGTGAGTGAGTGTTGTGATGGAAACCTACGCCATCAGCAGGTTTCCCCCAGTGTTCGACAGGCAGCCGCGGGTGGTCGGGCTAGCTTGCTTGTCGTAGCCACAGTTACCACACAGCAGGCCGAGGATGTTAAAAGCCATAACCAAGACGACCATGCAGAGCACCGCCACGCAGGCGATCCACCTGAAGGTTAGACAGAGAGGTTTACCCACTTTAACCTAATTCATTGTAACCTAGAGTGAGATTATTTCTCACAAGCTGTGCAACTAGTTTGGTTCTTTTTATTTATTTATTTTTTTAAAAGCAGTGAGAAGGACCATGTGTTATAACTAGAGCTGAACCTTAACAGTCTTGTTTCTATCTATGACGTTTTAACATCCTCACATTTTCTTAATAGATTTTTAAAGAGAAACACACAAACCTGTAAAAATCCATCTGATCGATTTGGGGGTAATAGGACTCAATAGCTTTGTGTCTTTCATTTAGGAAAATGGTGAAATTTGCCAGAGAAGCTTCCACGGGGAACATCTTGGAGAAGCCGGTGATCTCTGCACCAATCTTATCCAGCATCCCCTTTACTCCTACAAACACAATTGCAACAATAAATAAGTCAGACAGAAATAAACTGGAAGGCTGGGGGTTTTAAGGTGAAGTGAAAAAGGGATAATGTGTCTGACACAGAAGAGAAAAACTTACGAGGCAGAGCTGCAGTTTCATCATCCACAAGTATGCAGACAGAGATGAAAGAAGAACATGAAACACTTTGTACTCACTCTTATCTCATTTACAAAACAGAGCTCTAGCTCACACACACACACACACACACACACACACACACACACACACACACACACACACACACCTGCAACAATGTTTTTTGTTTGCTCTTTAACCAGTCTTGGTGTGTCGTTAAAGGATGCGTAACCCTGTAGATGAACAGAATAAGAGAAAAGAAAGATGGCAGGTGAGACAAAAAGTTTTAGCATGGACAAGATGATGATGATGAGTGAGAGACGGCCACTAACCTTTTGTACAATGTTGCTGAAATCTGTTTTCAGGACAGTATTGACATTGGCCAAGGCATGATTAACATCTGGGATCTGACAGACAGGAAAAAGAAGCAGAGTAAACCTGGAAATATTTCTCACGGTTAAAATGTTCCAGTATTAGATGGCATATTGCTTCTTATCACCTTGGAGAAGTCAGCATTGATTCCCAGCTGGGACAGTGTGGAGCGAATGGTGCTACAGGTATGTGACACAGCTCCGTTCGTGCAGGCGGGGTCGGACAGGGTGTTGGACAGAGAGGCACGCTCTCCTGACAGGCTGGCCTGAAGCTTCCCCACCCCGTCCTGCAGCACCTCCAAGGACGAGCTGACGTTCTCCAGGGCCTCTTTGGTCTCCCGCATGGCTACAAACAACAAGAAATATGACACACAGTGAAACTATCTTTTCTTGAGACAACAGCGTGCTGGGCTTTTTTACACTGACCACAGAGGCACAACCCACAGAGGAAAACTATAACAAAAAACTGTTTCCAACTTAACACAAAGGTTCAGAATCACCATCTGCTTCTAACACTTTTGCAGACACAGCCACGAACACTGCACCACTGAGTCCCACTCAGCTCACTTTACCTTTGATGGCACTCTCAATTTTTGCTTTAGACAAAAGAAAATGTGAGAGAATCATAGAGGGGAAAAAAGAAAGAAAAAGAAATGAAAATAAAATGGTGAGGACTTTTCCTTAAAGACTGTCTTTAGTATTAAACCCACAAGAGAAGTTGTGGCATTTAAATGGCAGTCATTAGATGTAACCGTAGCAACTACTTAAAAAACTCCTGATTTTATTAGAAACTTAAATTTGCTATAAAATTGAAAATTATACGTGTATTACAGTACATCTTTTAAAAAGAACAACTGAGTTTTGTTTAAGAACTTGCACACTGGTTTGTGAGTCTCCGTCCGAGTTGTGTAATCTCAACGGGAGGTTTATACAGAGACGTTACCTCCTGCCATACGCAGGGCGGTGTCCAGCGAAGGAATCACTGATTTCTCCAGCTGAATGTGGATCCTACCCCCCAGCAAAGGGCCAATGTCTGTGAGGAAGCAGAGAAAGGTCAGAAAGTTCAGCACAGTTATGTAAAGTGAGAGATATCAGACAAACACTGTGTGCAAACATGCAGGGTCGAGCTTACTGTCGAGGTCTGACAGGACTTTGTTCTTGGCTGTGGTGTACTGGGCTGTCAGGTAATCGACTTGCTGCAGCAGGAGACACACAGTATTAATAGATATTGGTTATGTTATATTATTGGCTTTTGTTTTTTCAAAAATAAACAGGGTTATTGTGAGGACATACTGCAGGCGTGTTGTTAGCGAACGTCTTCAGGTCTCTCATGTTGGTGTTAATGAGCCGCCGAGTGCTTTTGACCTGTGAGCTGATGTTGTGGTTTGCGGCGAGAGCAATGAGAACACCCACACTGAAAAACACATGCAGGATCGATTAGGAGAAGAGCAGTGCAGTGACCACACTTTAACAGCAGAGAGCAGCACAGCTACATAATGGGGACTCCTGCATTATGAGTTTTAATTCTTGCTCACTGAAGATTCAACTCTGCCCTCCACAGTTAGTGATGTAAGAAAAACTGTACTGCTGAGTGTACAAGCTAAACATGCAAAGTGAAGCTAAGCATTAGGATTATGTGGTTAGAATTCACTTTGATTCACTGCAAAAACACCTTATTAGTTTTACAGAGCAGGTACTCCGCATGCTCTCTGCATATGAGCAAATAAAGTTATTGGAGTTTTTTTTTTTTACCCCACATAAAGGCAAGCATTTTTACATATGTGAAAAATTATACGTGTAAATCTGTGGTGCCAACATTGACCTGCTGAGATCTGTTCATTATTACAAGGGTTGTTAACTTTTTGGTCAGACTGCTTTCAGGAGCATTTTTGTTCATAATTTTAAGTCGTAACTAATTTTAACTAATAGTCTGGCATGACACCTGATAGTCTTTTAGCTTGTAGGTTGTAATCTATTTGAGAAAACAGATAACTTGTGTAAAGTTTTGGGTTCATATGCAGTGAAGAAAGCTATCCAAACCTACCTGGCACCATGTAATTTGACCCCTAAGCCTAATAACTGGTTGTGCCACCTTTGGCAGCAAGAGCTGCAATCAAGTGTTTGTGATAAATGGCAATGGGTCTTTCACATCACTGTGGAGGAATTTGGCCCACCCTTCTTTATTTAATTGTTTGATTTGGTCACATCTGAGGGTTTTCAAGCATGAATGGCCTCTTATATGATTTTTGAGCCATTCAGAGGTGAGCTTGCTGGCAGGGATGGGAATCGAGAACCAGTTCTGTACAAGAACTGGTTCCCAGTAGTCAAATTCTTTGGAATTGTTAGTCTGTTTGCCTATCAATACCATTTATCGGTTTCAGTTGCACTTCAATCAGCTAATTTCAGTTTGTGTGCCGGAGATGGAAGATAGTGGTACGGTCTACAGCCTGGATATAGGCATTACATTTAGTTTTACTACACAAAAGGACAAGAGCACGATGGTAAAGTGGAAACTGCATCCAGGTCAGAAAAAAAAATGCATTATGCTGCCAACACAACTTCGGCTCCTTGCAAGCACCTGCACAGACAGCATGCTAATGCTAAGCTAGCCAAGAACCCAGAGTGACGCTATAAAGCTGACTGAATGCTGACCTCAGCCCAGCAACCAGACCCTGAACTTCAACAGATAACAAAAGCAGAAATGAGCAATCAGGCTTGTAGATGCAGTTTCCATCTGTTCATTGACTGACATATGTCAATGACTTTGTTTTTCAGCTGTTTTTGAGTTTCTTTAGATTGTGGTATGATGTGTCTTTTTCAGATGTTTTAGTCTACTTCACTTTGTCAGACAGATTCTGTTTATTTCTATTTAACCTCTATTTATGCAGGTAGTCCCATTGAGACTCAATGTCTCATTTACAAAAGAGACAAACATATTAAAATTACAACAATAAAATTAAAATTGTCTAATGTTTACACAGTCGTATCAAAAACAGGTGCTTTAAACAAGTGTTTAAATGATTTCATGATTCAGCAGGTCTGGCAATAATCATAGCTGGAAATGACTAATGAAATTATACTCAAATGTGATTAATTGGAGCAAAGGGGGTAATGATTTTTTCGCATAGGGCCAGGTAGGTTTGGATAGCTTTTTCCCTTAAAAATTGAAAGAATCATTTAAAATTTGCATTTTGTGTTTATTCTGGTTACTGTGATAATTTTTAATCATCAAAATGTCTTTGATGATCTGAAGTGTGGATGTGTGACAAATATGCAAAAATAACAAATCGCCACAGAAGGTGAAATCTTACAGGTACTTCGCGATACAGAAATCAAAGTAGAGGAGAACCAGTGTCATTAAAGTCATCCTCATTTTGGAGTATAGCAGACTGATAATGATAAAAACTGTGAAGAAGAGGAATGACGACTCACATGATGAAGATGGTTGTAGCAACCAGCGAGGCGGTATAGAAACCTCTGTGACAGTCTGCATTTTTCCTCTGTCTCTGATGCATCTCCCCTCCACAGTTATCACAGCATCGACACATGCAGAAGCACATAGCTATGACGGGGATAAGGACCACAAACACGACGCCGAAGGTTGCACATATGAGAAATCCGGACTCGTACTGGATCCACTGCGGGAGGAGAGCATTCACCCAGTTATCAATCTGCTCTCTGCCCTTTACTTTTGACAGAGATATGCAGTGAAAGCTGTGTTGAGAGGAGTTTACCTGCAGCAACAAGACGACGTTTTCTGGCTGGAGCACCAAACCAGATGTGGAGGTGTGCAGAAATCAAACAAGCATGAACAAAAAGAAGACGTGCAAACCAGGTCAATGTGACAACAGAGGGATTAAAAAAAGGAGAATCCTCATTTCTAAATGAATAAAGTTTTTCATGATGTGACACAGTCACTTTGTGGTTCTTGCTGTGAAGTGATATTTTAATTTTATTAAAATTATCCAAACATAAAACTAATAAACTTTAAAGTGAGACACAAAACATGTTTTTTCATACACTGGTCAATTGTTTTGTGCAAGTATAAAATTCAGATACTGAACCCTGATCCATTCATCATGGGAAAGTTATAAAGCACTTCAGTGTAAAAAACAAGTGCTTGTATGAATGAGGCATGTTTTATAAAGTGCTCTCAGTATTCAAGTAGAATAGAAAAGCACTATAAAAGAACCAGTTCATTACCATTTGCCAGTAATTTTAACACTTAACATACCTTTCTCCATTCCTCTATTTTGATTCCACCCATGTTTTGCTGAATGACTTTGACAATGAGATCTGCAAAAAAAAAAAAGAACACACACATACAGACGAGTGCTTACATACAGAAAAACTGCCGCACAGTGGAGATGCTGTGTTTCAGTGATTTACAGGCAGGTACGTGATGACAAGCAAATTTGGAGAGGGTAAAAAAGAATCCATTTATGTGCTCACAAGCAGACAACGCGGATTACGTGGGATCGTTTTTTAATTTCCGAGGAGAGGACGGCACTGAGACCGTGTTTTAGTGTTTTTAACGGGAGCTGTTTGAATTGTGTAGTTTGTCACCAGTGACTTCAGTTCAGTCCAGCTGTCTGTGTTTACTGTATATAGGTCAGCCAGCGCTAAGCCTACCTGCACTGTGACTCACAGCAGTGTTACTCAGCATGTAAAAGATGATTACGATATGCTTCTATGGACACAAGCTCACACATACATATTACATGTATGCCTATTTGACAGCATTAAAAGCAGGATATCTGTGCCACGTATAGATACAATCACATCCAAGCGTTCCAATACACTCACATCAAAATACTGTATTTGAAAACTCAGCAGAGGTTATTTGAAGTTGTACAATTAAATGACTTAACAGCGTTTGTTTGCCAGATTTCTCACATTAAATCAGTAGTTCACAATTTCTTTTTTCGGGTCACACTTCAAAAAGATACAAATGTCGTTTACACACATTATTTAACTCAAACACTCAAACGGCATTATTATAGTTTTGCATTTTTCTTATTAGTTTTTATTTCTGTTTAAAGTTTTTGTTTCCAGACAGTCTCCAGAGTGGGTTTAGTTTGTATTCTTTTCAGAGTAGGGTTTAGTCTTTAATTATTCTAATATGACAGGTGATTATTCTGGGCAACCTATTAGACATACAGAGTACAATAGAAAACAAAACAACACTTTATGAAAGCAGCTGACTCTCAGTCGTCTAGAGATCTCAAATCTCGGTAGACATTTGCATATGGGCCTTGTTCGGCATGCTGTGCTGATACATTTCAATCACATAGTAGCTCATGATCCAGTACAACTCCCAGGCAACCCTAATATGTGAAGTACAGAAGAAAGTTATGTTTTTCTAGTATTGCACAAACTAATGAGAATTAAAATCTACTGAGAAGTGAAGGAGTCCTGTAAACAGTCATATCTCGTTTCACTAAAATCTGACCAGTACTCTAGGAGGAGGAGTGGTTCTTGTGAAAATGGTGACAAGCTCCTAGGAAACAACAAAAATACGATCTTGAGCATAATTTGGGTGAAGACTCATTAAGTGATTAAAAAAAATCGGACTAAAAATCAGTCCTTGTGCCGCGTGGGCTGAAACTAAAAACGAGAGCATTTCCACTACTTTTACTTTGTTGTTAGTGCACAACACTGTTTGCTATTTTTACCAGAAAAATCTAGTTTTTATTTTAGTTAACAAAAAGCATTTTTTAAAGAAAACTATTATAAGGTCAACATAATGTTGGCAAAGTTGTTTATTTTCCCAAAAAGAAAAGTATCCAACTTAATTCCAATCATGTTATAGATGTACCTTTTCCCTTTTTTTCCTGTCTTTTAACTTAATATTATCTCACAGCAGAGCTTCTCAGATTAGTACCATGTCATGTGCCACTGCACACAACAAGCAGATGGAGACCAGTTTAGCAAATAGATGTCTCTCTCTCTC